AAGAGAATCACACTTTGAAGGCTAGTGCGATCTGACTGCAGGACTTTGACATGACTGGGGGAAACAGAGCCTCCACTCTTGGAGGGCACACACAAAGTAGTGTGCGCATCGGGACCCAGGGGAAGGAGCAGTGACCCCAAGGGAGACTGAACTAGACCTACCTGCTAGTGTTGGAGGGTCTCCTGCAGAGGCGGGGGGTGGGGGGCTGTGGCTCACCATGGGGACAAGGCCACTGGCAGCAGAAGTTCTGGGAAGTACTCCCTGGAGTGAGCCCTCCCAGAGTCTGCCATTAGCCCCACCAAAGAGCCCAGGCAGGCTCCAGTGCTGGGTGCCTCAGGCCAAACAACCAACAGGGAGGGAAGCCAGCCCCACCCATCAGCAGTCAAGCAGATTAAAGTTTTACTGAGCTCTGCCCACCAGAGCAACAGTCAGCTCTACCCACCACCAGTCCCTCCCATCAGGAAACTTGCACAAGCCTCTTAGATAGCCTCATCCACCAGAGGGCAGACAGCAGAAGCAAGAAGAACTACAATCCTGCAGCCTGCGGAACAAAAACCACATTCACAGAAAGATAGACAAGATGAAAAGGCAGAGGGCTATGTACCAGATGAAGGAACAAGATAAAACCCCAGAAAAACAACTAAATGAAGTGGAGATACGCAGCCTTCCAGAAAAAGGATTCAGAATAATGATAGTGAAGATGATCCAGGACCTCGGAAAAAGAATGGAGGCAAAGATGGAGAAGATGCAACAAATGTTTAACAAAGACCTAGAAGAATTGAAGAACAAACAAACAGAGATGAACAATAAAATAACTGAAATGAAAACTACACTAGAAGGAATCAATAGCAGAATAACTGAGGCAGAAGAACGGATAAGTGACCGGGAAGACAGAATGGTGGAGTTCACTGCCATGGAACAGAATAAAGAAAAAAAGAATGAAAAGAAAAGAAGACAGCCTAAGAGACCTCTAGGACAACATTAAACTCAACAACATTCGCATTATAGGGGTCCTAGAAGGAAAAGAGAAAGGACCAGAGAAAATATTTGAAGAGATTATAGTCGAAAACTTCCCTTACATGAGAAAGGAAATAGCCACCCAAGTCCAGGAAGTGCAGCGAGTCCCATACAGGATAAACCCAAGGAGAAACACGCCGAGACACATAGTAATCAAACTGCCAAAAATTAAAGACAACGAAAAATTATTGAAAGCAGCAAGGGAAAAATGACAAATAACATACAAGGGAACTCCCATAAGATTAACAGCGAATTTCTCAGCAAAACTATACAAGCCAGAAGGGAGTGGCATGATATACTTAAAGTGAGGAAAGGGAAGAACCTACAACCAAGATTACTCTACCCAGCAAGGATCTCATTCAGATTCGATGGAGAAATCAAAAGCTTTACAGACAAGCAAGGGCTAAGAGAATTCAACACCACCAAACCAGCTCTACAACAAATGCTAAAGGAGCTTCTCTAAGTGGGAAACACAAGAGGAGAAAAGGACCTACAAAAACAAACCCAAAACAATTAAGAAAATGGTCACAGGAACGTACATATCGATAATTACCTTAAACGTGAATGGATTAAATGCTCCAACCAAAAGACACAGGCTTGCTGAATGGATTCCAAAACAAGACCCATATATATATGCTGTCTACAAGAGACCCACTTAAGACCTAGGGACACATACAGACTGAAAGTGAGGGGATGGAAAAAGATATTCCATGCAAACGGAAATCAAAAGAAAGCCGGAGTAGCAATACTCATATCAGATAAAATAGACTTTAAAATAAAGAATGTTACAAGAGACAAGGAAGGACACTACATAATGATCAAGGGATCAATCCAAGAAGAAGATATAACAATTATAAATATATATGCACCCAACACAGGAGCCCCTCAATACATAAGGCAACTGCTAACAGCTGTAAAAGAGGAAATCGACAGTAACACAATAATAGTGAGGGACTTTAACACCTCACTTACACCAATTGACAGATCATCCAAAATGAAAATAAATAAGGGAACAGAAGCTTTAAATGATACAATAGACCAGACAGATTTAATTGTTATTTATAGGACATCCCATCCAAAAACAGCAGAGTACACTTTCTTCTCAAGTGTGCACGGAACATTCTCCAGGATAGATCACATCTTGGGTCACAAATCAAACCTCAGTAAATTTAAGAAAACTGAAATCATATCAAGCATCTTTTCTGACCACAATGCTATGAGATTAGAAATCAATTACAGGGAAAAAAACGTAAAAAACACAAACACATGGAGGCTAAATAATACGTTACTAAATAACCAAGAGATCATTAAAGAAATCAAAGAGGAAATCAGAAAATACCTACAGACCAATGACAATGAAAAGACCATGATCCAAAACCTATGGGATGCAGCAAAAGCAGTTCTAAGAGGGAAGTTTATAGCAATACAAGCCTACCTCAAGAAACAAGAAAATTCTCAAATAAACAATCTAACCTTACACCCAAATGAACTAGAGAAAGAAAAAAACAAAACCCAAAGTTAGCAGAAGGAAAGATATCATAAGGATCAGAGCAGAAAAAAATGAAATAGAAACAAAGAAAACAGTAGCAAAGATCAATAAAACTAAAAGCTGGTTCTTTGAGAAGATAAACAAAATTGATAAACCATTAGCCAGACTCATCAAGAAAAAGAGGGAGAGGACTCAAATCCATAAAATTAGAAATGAAAAAGAAGAAGTTACACCAGACACTGCAGAAATACAAAGCATCCTAAGAGACTACTACAAACAACTCTATGCCAATAAAATGGACAACCTGGAAGAAATGGACAAATTCTTAGAAAGGTATAACCTTCCAAGAATGAACCAGGAAGAAATAGAAAATATGAACAGACCAATCACAAGTAATGAAATTGAAACTGTGATTAAATATGTTCCAACAAACAAAAGTCCAGGACCAGATGGCTTCACAGGTGAATTCTATTAAACATTTAGAGAAGAGGTAACACCCATCCTTCTCAAACTCTTCCAAAATATAGCAGAGGGAGGAACACTCCCAAACTCATTCTATGACGCCACCATCACCCTCATACAAAAACCAGACAAAGATACTACAAAAAAAGAAAATTACAGACCAATATCACTGATGAATATAGATACAAAAATCCTCAACAAAATACTAGCAAACAGAATCCAACAACACATTAAAAGGATTGTACACCATGATCAAGTGGGATTTATCCCAGGGATGCAAGGATTCTTCCATATATGCAAATCAATCAATGTGAGACACCATATTAAAAAATTGAAGAAGAAAAACCATATGATCATCTCAGTAGATGCAAAAAAGCTTTTGACAAAATTCAACGCCCATTTATCATAAAAACTCTCCAGAAAGTGGGCATAGAGGGAACCTACCTCAACACAATAAAGGCCATATACGACAAACCCACAGCAAACATCATTCTCAATGGTGAAAAACTGAAAGCATTTCCTCTATGATCAGGAACAAGACAAGGATGTCCACTCTCACCAGCTACAGTAATCAAGACAATATGGTAATGGCACAAAACGAGAAAGTTAAAGACTTTCTTCTTGGGTCCAATTCTATAAATTCCTAGAAAAATAGACATAACTTTTCATTAGCCTATCAAAAAAGACAGACTATAAGCAGTATCCTGGTTAGAACTAAAGAGGAATGCTTGGAGCTCTTATTCATACATATAAAATGGATTTATTTAAGGTGATTTATTAAGGGTGATCTGAATAAACTTACATATTACCAGAACTAATTAGTCGTACTTTATTTAATATAGTACACATCCCATATGTGTACTATATTACACATCCCATATGTGTCTCTCCCCAAACTGTGTGTCATCGTGGGTTTTAAACTAGTGTTTCAGATAAACTCCATACTTCAGTCACAAAAGAAATGATACCCACCACTGATCATGTACTGAGCTCTTACTACGTGCCAGGTGCTTTACAAAGATCTCAAGAATCTTCACAACTGTCTGTGGGATGTGAAATATGGCAATTCACCTTGTAAATAAATTAGAATGATTCTCTTTGGACTCTACATGAAATTTTTTTCAACTAAAATGTTTTTATTACACAAAATTTTATAAAAATTGAAAAATACACAAGTTATATAAAGTAAAAAGGGAAAGCTCCCTCTACCCCCACCCTGCCTCTGTACTCTTTCTATTCCGTAGTACAGAGTTTGGAAGGTTTATTTTTATGTATTAAGTAGGTCAGCTGTGTTTCCCATTCTTGGATAAGTGGCCTTCTATAGGAGACATTCTATGGGGCCCAGCAGCACACTCCCCTCTGGGCACCAGAGCTGTATGCAACAGAAGTGACCCTCTGTGGGCTGCATGGGCCTTCAGTTGCGGCGGGGCTGACTGCTGTGGGTGCGCTGGTGAGTGCAGCTGGACCCTGGCCTGGTTGGCTGCCAGCCCCTGCCTCACGCAGTGACTACTGGCCCATTGTGGGTGGGTACACATAGTATTTTTAACTCATAGACACTGATAGATAATAAAGAAAATAGCTAAAATGAGATTCTGGATTATCTGAAAGTTAATTCATATCTCCTGCATTAAATATTTAATCACATCCACTATAAAAGTTAAATCATCAGATGTATAGCTTCCTCTCTGCATCCTTATCCCTTCCTGAAAGACACACTAACATTTTTTTACAATGGACAAAAGAAGAGTGGCAGAAAGAGGGTGAAAAGCAAGTCACATGGGAAACTGACTAAACCAGTTCAGTAACATTTATTTTCCATTTGTAAGGAAGCTTTATGAAAATCTTTGTTTTATTAAATGGATTCACACAGTAACATTTTAAAGAACAGATTTAATTCTGCCTAAGTTGCTTCTTTCCTGAATGATTTTCAGCACTCATCAGGATGGCAATAAATATTTTAAATGATAGGCAATGTTGAAAATTCAGTTTTCTCTTTCACAATGCCATTAAATAGGAAAGCAGTAGTACTTACCTCCTTTGCACTCTTAATTTTAGTCAGAAATGTATACAGCTCCATTGTCTCTGCAAACAGTGCACGACACACTGCCTGATAATGATTTGGTGCCTCTGATGCAGTTGGGAGATGAGCAGCACATAACTACAGAAGAGGAAAATAAAGGTACTTTTTTATTATCTGTGGGGTTTTTGTACCTTAAAAACAGACACACCCAGTATATTCACATTTTCATATCAGACAGCAAGGCAACCCCACAATTCCCATCACCCAAAGCTTAATGCATCACAAGACGACCAGTAAAGTCCACACAATTAATATGGAAAAAGTGGTCCAGTAACTAACAAGCACCCAGCAGCACAGATGAGCTTACTAGAATTAGTTAGCTTCTACTTGAAAACGATAGGGCATGTGTAAAAGTTTTGGTTGGGAGTACAAAGGGAACTACCAATTACTGAGTACTGATCAGAACTCAGGTATTTTAATAACTACCATTTATTGAGTATTTATCATGCCATGTTTGATACGTCATATACACAGCATAATATCATTTACTCTTCAATGTAACCCTGAATTAGCACCATTATATAGCAACAGAAACTAAGGCTTCAGAAGAGTCAAGTGACTTGTCCACAGTCATAAAGTTAACGTAAGGGAGAAGGAGAATTTGACACAGTCCTATTTGATTCTGAAGCCCAGGATCATTCTAATACACACTGAGTTGTATTAAATTTAGTAAAAAGAATGTCAGGAAGACATGGGGACCACTGGGAAGATACCTCGTCAGTAGATGGGGAGTGGAGGAAAGAGGGCAGAGGGCAACTGGTGATACTACCAGTCCTAACGTCCTTTACAATACACAGCCCATAACCCCCACAAAACTACTTGTAGGTAAAAGATGCAATTTAACATCACGCACAACAATTTAGAAAAATCAAACACAGCTTATTAGATTGGAAAAGACATCCTGTCAAGAGCCTAGTGCATTTTATTAAAAAGATAATTTTATCTTTCTATAAAATAATAGTTTTGTATCTGTGTACAACAGTTATGTTTTAAGGTACTTCATTTGCATTAAAAAGTTGTAAGTTCTCCCTTATTCTTTACTATATTCAGTAAACTTGACATTAATACAATTACTGAAAATACACATTTATTATATTCAATAACTTGTATCTTTTGGAGAGTAAAAGATATCTTTGTAGCTTATAATATCTTTCACAATGTGTCTTTCTGTTATTTTTTTCATTTGTAATAAGTATTGTATGCAATTTAATAGATTACTATCTTTAATAAAATACATTCTCAGGAAAATATCTTGAGTTTCAGTAAGAAACTTTTTCCACAGTACGAAAAACAGGCTAAGAATTGATTCCTTGGGAGCATGAAAAGCAAAAATCTCACAAGCTTAATTATTCACAAAGTGACCAATGAACAGAGAGTATATTTTTTGCACAATTATTTTTGTATGCAGAAAACAGCTTCCCACATAGAATTATCATTTCCAAGGTTATGAAAGGCATCTGCTAGGACTTTCACCTTTCACTAATCCCACAATTTTATATTCCAATTATATGTTCTGAATATGGCATAACATTTTTGACTGTAATTCACAGTAAGAAATACATTTTAGGGGGCTTCCCTGTGGCACAGTGGTTAAGAGTCCGCCTGCCAATACAGCGGACACGAGTTCAAGCGCTGGTCTGGAAAGATCCCACATGCCGCAGAGCAACTAAGCCCATGAGCCACAACTACTGAGCCTGCACTCTAGAGCCCATGAGCCACAACTACCGAGCCCGTGTGCCACGACTACTGAAGCCCACATGCCACAACTACTGAAGCCCGTGCACCTAGAGCCTGTGCTCCACAACAAGCCACCACAATAAGAAGACCGCACACCGCAACGAAGAGTAGCCCCTGCTCGCTGCAACTAGAAAAAGCCCGCGTGCAGCAACAAAGACACAACGCAGCCAAAAATTAAGTAAATAAATAAATAGAAATACATTTTACATAAGGATTCAAACACATGCATATGTATATGTTTTAGACACAAAAATTTCACAGAACAAAACTTACACATTCAATTGATTTCACAACCCACTAACAGGCTGTGCCCTGCAACTTGGAAAACACTGGTGTAAAACTCTAAAATTTTTTTAATGCACATGATATAATCTTATATGTAGAAAATCCACAAAAACTATTAGAACTAAGAAGCAATTTTAGCAAAGTTGTGGGATACATGATCAACACAAAAAAGTTCTATTTCTAAACAATACTAATGAACAATCAGAAAATGAAATTAGAAAACAATACCATTTTTTTTTAATAGCAAAAAAATAAAATACTAAGGAATAAATTTAACCAAGGAGGTGCAAGCCTTACACACTGAAAACTCTAAAGCATTGCTGAAAGAAATTAAAGAAGACTTACATAAATGGAAAGACACCCCGTATTCATGGGTTGGAAGACTTAATATTGTTAAGACAGTAATACTACACAAAATGATCTACAGATTGAATGCAATCCCTAACTAATTCCCAAAGGCCTTTTTTGAAGAAATGGAAAAGCTGATCCTAAAGTTCATATAGAATTGCAAGGGGCCCCAAATAGCTGAGACAATCTTGAAAAAAACAGAGCTAGAAGACTCAAACTTCCAAATTTCAAAACTTACCTCAAAGTTATACTAATCAAAACAAAGTGGTACTTGCATAAGGACAAACATACAGATCAATGAAATAGAACTGAGTCCAGAAATAAACCCATATATCTATGATTGATTGATTTTTCACGAAAGCGCCCAGACCATTAAGTAGGGAAAGAATATTCTCTTCAACAAATGATGCTGGGAAAACTGGATATCCACATGCAGGAAAAAAAAAAAAAAAAAAAAATGAAGTAGTGGTACCCCTATCTCACACCATACATAAATATTAACTCAAAATGGATCGGGGGCTTCCCTGGTGGCGCAGTGGCTGAGAGTCCACCTGCTGATGCAGGGGACACAGGTTCGTGCCCCAGTCTGGGAAGATCCCACATGCCGCGGAGTGGCTGGGCCTGTGAGCCATGGCCGCTGAGCCTGCGCGCCCGGAGCCTGTGCTCCGCAACGGGAGAGCACTGTTGTGCTCTCACAACAATGAGAGACCCGCGTATCGCGCAAAAAAAAAAAAAAGGATCAGAGACCTAAATATAAGAACCAAAACTATAAAACTCTTAGACGAAACCATAGGCGTAAACCTTCATGGTCGTGGATTCAGTACTGGTTTTTAAGATATGATACCAAAAGCACAAGAAATAGCATATCTTATTTTATTGCACTATACTGTGCATCGCAGATATTTTGTTTTTTTACAAATTGAAAGTTTGTAGCGACCCTGCATTGGGCAAGTATTTCAGTGCCATTTTTCCAACAGCATTTGTTCACTTCTTGTCTCTATGTCACATTTTGGTAATTCTCGCAATATTTCAAACTTTTTCATTATTATTACATTCATTATGGTGATCTGTGATCAGTGATTTTTGGTATTACTATTGTAATTTTTTTTGTTTTTTATTCTGAAATTAAGGTATGTACATTGTTTTAGACATAATGCTATTACACACTTAATAGACTACTGTATAGCATAAACATAACTTTTATATGCAGTGGGGACCCAAAATATTCATGTAACTCGCTTTATTGCAATATTTGCTTTATTGCAGTGGTCTGGAACTAAACCTGCAATATCTCCGAGGTATGCCTATAAATGGATAAATTAGACTTCATCAAAGTTAAAAATTTTTGTACATCAAAGGACACTATCAAGAGAGTGAAAAGATAATCCACAGAATCAGAGAAAATATTTGCGAATCATATATCTAATAAGGATCTAGTATCCAGAATACATAAAGAACTCAAACTCAACAAAAGATAAACAATCTAATTTAAAAATTGACTTGACTAGACATTTTTCCAAAGAAGGTATACGAATGGCCAAAAAGCACATAAAAAGATGCTCAACATCACTGGTCATTAGAAAATGCAAATCAAAACCACAATTAGATACCACTCACATCCACTAGAATGGCTATAAAAACAAAGAAAAAATGGAAAATAAGTGTTGGCAAGAATGTGGAGAGATTGGAACCCTTGCGTATTGCTGGTGGGAATGTAAAATGGTGAAGCCACTGTGAAAATAGCTTGATGGTTCCTCAAAAGTTAAAGATAGAATTACCATGTGATCTAGCAATTCCATTCCTAGGTATATACCCAAAAGAATTGAAATTAGGTGTTCAAACAAAAACTAGAACACAAACGTTCATACCAGCACTATTCATAGCAGCTGGAAAGAATTCCAATGTTCTAAACTGATGAATGGATAAACAAAATGTGGTATACTCACAAAATGGAATCTTACTAAGCCACAGAAAGGAAAAAGGTACTGACACATGCTACAATATGGACGAACCTTAAAAATATTATGCTAAGTCTAAGAAGCCAGACACAAAAGGTCACATACTGTATGATTCCATTCATATGAAATACCCAGAATACATAAATCCACAGAGACAGAAAGCTGATTAGTGGTTGCCAGTGTCTGAAGGAGGAAGGATGGGAAGAGATGGGTATGAGGTTTCCATCTGGGATAATGTAAAAGCTCTAGAACTAGACAGTGGTGATGGCTGGACAGTATTGTGAATGTACTTAATGGCACTAAATTGTATACCTTTAAATGGTTTAAATGGTAAATTTTATGTGTATTTTACCACAATTTTTAAATGTATAAAAAATTTTAAAAGAACAACGAAATTCCACAAAGTTTCCATTGAGACAGAGGAGAAATAATCCCTCAGAGGAAAAATAACCCCAGTGGTTATTTCAGTGTCAATGTTGATATTTATTTTATTCTTTGTGTTTACATGCATCTTCACCTCTAATCCTTACAACAACCCAATTTACAGATTTAGAATAGCTAAGTAATTTACCCAAGGCCACACAGTGAGACAGAACTGGAAATGAACCCAGGCAGTCTAACTCTAGAGCCCAAGTCCTTATGCACTCCACCCTAGAATGAGAGTATATTACTCTTCCATTAAAGGAAATAATGTTCTTAAAGTGCTTAAGCATAGAGCATAGTATACAGTAAGCATGCAACAAAATCATC